GAGGTGTCTTTGGGAGCATCAGAGAGGCTGGGATGATCCCCAGCTACCGTCAGAGCTACTCCAACAGTGGAGAGCTTGGGAAGAAGAGCTGCAGTTTCTCCCCCGAGTCTTTCTGTCCCGCCCATACCTTCCAAAGCACATTAAAGAGCAGGTGAGAGAGCGAGAGGTCCACATATTTTGTGATGCGTCAGAAAAGGCCTATGGCGCAGTAGCCTACCTGAAAACATTGACAAGTGATGGCAGCTCACATTTGGCTTTCTTAGTGGCTCGATCTCGAGTTGCTCCCAAGCGTGTGCTCTCCATGCCCCGACTTGAACTGTGTGCTGCCCTCTCTGGTGCTCAGCTCTCCAGTCTCCTTGAGAAAGAACTTACCCTGAGCATCAAGAGAACCATGCTGTGGTCTGACTCTACTACAGTACTTACCTGGCTGAAATCTGAATCGTGCCGCTTTAAGATCTTTGTAGGCACCCGCGTTGCTGAGATCCAAGAGCTGACTCACTTTCACACTTGGCGTTACGTTGACTCCACCCAGAATCCTGCGGATGACCTTACAAGAGGGAAGTCACTTCTGGAGCTGACCAGGCCCAACAGATGGAGTCAAGGACCTTCCTTCCTGCTCCTAGAACCAGATGAGTGGCCTGCAGATCCAAGTGAAACCAAGCAAGAGCCCCCCGATCCTAATGAACTTCGGAAGGAGACCTTCTGTGGAGTTTCAACAGCTGCTGACCATGCCATATCAAGTTTCAGGCAGTATGACACCTGGAAGCAGCTGGTGGAAGCGACCATCCTGAAGTTACACGGGGCGGCCACCAGAGACGGATCCATATCAGCCGAAGATTAACACGCGGAGGTCCTCGTTCTTAGAGGAGCTCAGCAAGACAGTTTCCCTGATGAGTACCGGCTGCTAAAATCTGACAAAGCTGTTCACCGCAGTAGCCGCCTTCTTGGCCTATCTCCAGAGTTCGACTCAGAAAATGAAGTCATTAGGGTAGGTGGCCGCCTTCGCCGTGCTGAAG